GAGTTATACTACATTGGATTTACATTGGTATAATTGAGATCAGTATTTGGCCTCATGATGAAAAATAATTATTTTAATAATGACTAAATAAATACAAAGCCAGCAACTGTCATTCCCACCTGAGAAGATTGTGAAGAATACCGTCAAATCCTTGAAATGGATCATTAAAATGTGAAGAATATCTTACAGATCCGAAAAATATGGTACTGGTGTAAATTATAGGTGAGGCTATGACAATTTATATCAGCTAAGAATCAGACCCATATTTTAAACTACAATAGAAAACATTGATCTCTCTTTCTATGTAAACTAATATGGCTCCCATCACAACAGTACCTGAATTTGATTCTATTCCATTCATGTATGTTCTTACACCACAGTCATCACGGTAGTATCTGAGCACCTTCCCTGTAGTGCATTGAGTCACAGTGATAGTGAGTCACATCTGTCACATGTTTGGTGTGTTTGTTTGAATGTGTATAAAGTATCAGAGCAGGCAGACAAATAAAAAATAAATCGAGGTCACCTGTCAGTTTGTCAAACCTTGGTGTACTAGAAACTATGCACGTGTTTTGTACGTAAAGTGAAAATGTAAACAGGAGGCAATTAATGAGTGACAGAGATTTTATCAGGACAGGGCAAGGACAAATCATGGCAATGATCCATGGAAGTGTTGATAGTCTTACATGAGAGACCAATGTGGTCCATAAAAAGACAATTCAGCTTCAAGGTTGAATCTCGGATTTCTGGCTAAGGAAGCAAAGTTAAACTCTGATACTGGACCCAGAGGAGACAAAAAAAAAAGGCTATTGACCCAGAAAGAAGACTTCTATCTGAAATATTCTGATAAGAGAAAAATTAGCAGTGTGGCCAGGAGCTGACATCGTCAGGACATGCAACTGGATGGGTCGAAGATGGATCAGAGAGTCAGGGGGAGGGATAGAAAATGTTTAGTGTCATTTGCAGAGAAGTGAAAGCTTCTGAAAAACAGATTTAACTTTGCTCATCCTCACCCCCTCTCTACCTACAGATGCTGTCAAAATAATTGTAGGGAATCAAGCAACTTGAATAATGAAATACTCAAAAAAAGTGTCAATCTGGTACCTTGTCTCTGGGGTTCAGAACAAAAACCTAATACAAACTCAAAGTAATTTTCATAGAAATGGGGCACATTCAGGCCAACCTTTAAGGATGGCCTGCAACCACCAATCTCATGTTTCACAAAAGTCAGGGTCAGGGTGGGTAAATGATCATTTGTTTAAAAAGAACAATTATTTGTTCTCTTCTCTTCCCAATTCCCCAAGATATCTGCCTCCTTTTCCTGGAATCTCCCTTCTGCTTGGAGCTGCTGTCTCTGAATTCAAGCCTTCTCCCATTAGCAGACTTCAATGGAAGCAGGATTAGGTGTGCACAATAACCCAGAGGAGGTGGAGCCAATAGGATAGCAGTAGGAAGGTAGCAGCAACTTCCAGTGAGAGAAAGGTACTGGGGTTCTTCTGTGTAATCTGGAAGCCAAGAGGAGGGGCAGGCAAGGAGAAGCACCCAAAGACAGACAGGGAAGAAATCATCCATGGCCCTCAAGGCATCTGGTGGCAGGAGGCTACGAGGATGACAAGCCCTCTCCACCTGTGAATGGAAAGTTGGCCTGGGGGACTGGATGGAAGCAGCTCAAGGCCAGTCAATAGGTAGCATTGTTCCTGAACCCATCCTGCCAACTATCTTTGCAAAGCCCCCTGCCATCAACTTCAGCTTCCTTCCCAGCATCCCTTTGATTTGTCACCTAGAGAGAAGGCACCCACTCTGTGAGTCTCTGCTGTCCCCACTGTCCCTTGTCTCATAGTGGGAGGATTCAGCATTCCCCACCAGATGATGAGATAAGGGAACTTGCGGGAGTGAATAGGGAGACTCACCATATGGGACTCCCTCCTCCAAGAGGCAGAACATGGAGCATTTGGAGGGAAGCTGACGTGGGCAACTGCAGAGGAGCAGACGGGTGAAGCTCATGGCTCTTGGTCAGATTCTCTGCTCAGCTCAGATCTGAGCTTCTTTCAGCAGTGCTGTCCCTAGTGTCTCCAAAAGTGTCTTTTTTCCAGCTTGTTCTCTTCTCTTCCCTTGACAGAGTTTGTCCTTTTCTTCTTATACATGTTCAGTTTTAGGCCCCATCGTTGGTCCTCCTGTATATGTGGTCTCCCTTAGCCTAACATTCCATTTATTTGAGAGTGAGTTATTATACCACAACCACTGCAAGTTATCTGGAGAGAGGTATATATGCTCCTCCTAGTCTATAGCAAGGCTCTTTCTCCTTGGGTAGGTACATCTCCCTGTTCCCCACCTTGGATGCTAGAGTCTTTATGGAACACAACTGCTCCTACTTTTCACCTACTAGTGATTTGTGTTAGCAACCATCTGCTGCCTTCACAACACTCCTACTCCCGATGCTGGCCCTAACCCTGGTGATAAATGACCAGTCCTCTCAAGTCACTGGGAGTTTGCCACTGACTTCAGCAGGAGTGTGATCATCCCCACAGATAGATGCTGCTAGCAGTTGGAGGGGATTCACTGAGTGGTCAGTAGCGGTCACAAAAAGCCTGTGGAAAGATGCCCATCTCTTGAAATATTTCCTAGCTGGTGTACTAGTAAAAAGAATTACTTAACAGATGTTCAAGTGCTTCTTGGGATAAATACATTATTGATAGAGAACTGTCACCACACATCATGGTCATACTATTTTCTTCTGTTCTTGAGGTTTACCCTTCAGATGCATTCCAGATTCAAAGCTAGCCTTCTAAACCCTTCTGGGACAAATTCTGTTTTAACTTCAGTGCAATCCTGGTAACCTTTTGTCCTCCCTTTCAATCTAACTATGAACTTTTTAAAATATAGCCATTAGGAAATACAGTTAGATGAAATTATCCAAACAGCATACAAATAAAATAAAAGCCCTGTTAGCAAGAATAGAGACAGCAAATATTCCTGTGTGTTTTTATGCAGCTAATGTAGCATAAAGAATATGAAATCATGAAAGTGTGATTCTAAGGGCAATGGAACCCTGTGAATTTCCCTCTGGATCACTGTTGTACACACACATGAAAATTGAGATTGTTCTATATTCCTCAGCATTTTTCATGTCTTTCCCGTGAAGCATGAATCCTGCTTTTAATCTGCAATATAATCTGCATGTTGCAGGGCGGTCACCCCACTCTGGCTCAGAAGGGGTTAAAAGCCAGCCCCTGGAGAGGCCCGGGGCTGAGAGAAAAGCCTAGACTGATTGGGGAAGCAGCCACAGCTGGGGCCATGCTCCAATCAGGACACAGCAGGCCCTATAAAAGGGCTGTGAGCCAGGTACTTAGGAGACACTCTCTCTAGCTTTTGAGAGAGAAGGACTGGCTGCCTGGGAGAAAAGGGTACCTGGAGAGGAGCAGGGTTGGGGGAAGGCCAGAGGAGCTGGGGAGCTCTAGCCTGGAAAACCCCCTGGCTGCAGGCCTTGCTAAAGGCCAGGAAAGATACTGGGGCTACAGAGATGTAGCCTGGGAATAGGCAGAGGCAGCTGGTCCAACCCCCTTGCCCATGTTGAGTGGTTTACAGACTGCAGTCTGTCCCAGTGAGTGGGGGCTAGATGGTGACTGGCAGTAGCCACTAAGGCAATGTGGGTATAGAGGGTTGGGGGTTCCCCTGGGTGGGGAGACCCAGATTGTGGGTTACTGCTGGGCACAGAACCCTGAGGCAGAGGGGCACTGGGGTCTGGGAGGGACACAGGGGCCAGTGGCAGGTAAGACACCTGCCTGCAGAGGGCACTCCTTAGGCTGGAGAGCTAATTCCCAGGATGACCAGCAGGAGGTGCTGCACTGGTGAGTCATCACCTTGCTACACTGCAATATAAAGAGAACTTTTTAAAGGAGACTTAAAAGAGTTATTTTAAGTCCCCACCCCACCCCCACTCACACACAGATCACAACCTCAACATGAGTCAGCAATGTAATGTTATTGCAAAAAAAGCAAATGCAATTTTGGGTTGCATTAATAGAGAGAGGCATAGCATGCAAGTCACAGGAGGCGATAGTACCACTCTACTTGGCACTAGTTAGGCCTCAACTGGAGTACTGTGTCCAGTTTTGATCACCAATGTATAGAAAGGATGTAGAGAAACTGGAAAGGATCCAGATGTGAGTGACTAAGATGATCAAAGGGATGGAATGCAAGCCATATGACCAAAGGCTGAAGGAACTGGGTATGTTTAGTTTCGAAATGAGGAGATTAAGAGAGGGATATGATAGTGGTCTTCAAATAACTGAAAGGCTGCCATAAAAAAATGGAGAAAAGTTGTCCTCTCTTGCCACAGAGGACAGGACAAGTGTCAATAACTTCAAACTACAGCATAGCAGATTTAAATTAAATATCAGGAAAAACTTCCTCACTGAGGAAGTTTTTCCTGATATTTAATCTAAATCTGAACAGTAAGACAATGGAATAAACTACCTAGGGAAGACGTGGAAGGTCCTTCAAAAGGAAACTGGATAGCCATCTGTCTTGGATCATTTAGACACAACAAATCCTGCATCTTGGCAGGAGATTAGACTAGATGACCCTTGTGGTCCCTTCTAACCCTGTGCTATGATTCTATGATTTTATTTGGCACAAAGCTAAAAAGTGTGAATTGGGCCAGATTCTCAGTGTAAATGCGTGTAGTTCCATTGATTCCTGTGCTGGTTTATGCTAGCTGAGAATCTGGCCCATAAATATTCTGTTGGGAGCAATTTACCATTGTCAAAGACATGGACTAAATGATAAGAGTTTTCCATCTCTATTTCTATGATCTTATTCTAATTGCAAGATATTTGCATCTATTTTAATCATCAGTTGTTCAAAATGAGGGGGAAATAACGTTTTTACAAGAGAAGAGAAGTATTTTTATTAAAGTGATTGGCCCATTAAACTGGCTGCTAAATGACCAAAGGAATATCATACAGGAATGTCATTCAGTTTTATTGTTTCATTCGTAGGTCTCCAAAGAATCTCTGCAGCTGTCACTTCACTTGCCTCTGGTGCTTAGGCATCTCAGCTTGCAGTATCATCAGTAACACAACTGAGCAATGATGGAGAAGGATGTCTGCTGAGTAGAAAACAGTAAGTGGACTCATCCTCAGTGTCAAGTGGATTCCTGTGGTTTTCCTATTTCTAGAGTCTTATTTATGAGTTCCCTTATTTCAGCTCACTGTGCATAAAGAAAACACAACCCTCATTTTTGACACATAAAGAAAACAACACAACCCACATAGGAGATGACAGAAGATCCACATGTATTCACTCTATTCTCAGCAACAATTCCCTATAACGGGCACAAGTAAAACTGGGAGAATTATTGTATTCATCAGCATAAACCTTTCTGTAGGAAATTTGAAAACTGAAAAAATCAAAACCCAGACAAAGAAGGGGGAAAAAAGTCATTTTTTGGTTTTGGCTTGGGAAAGCTTCCGAAGGAAAATGTTGATGAAAAGAACAAGTTTTAAGTTTCTAAAAATTTTTGCAGGAAAAACAAATTCCAACCAGCTCTGCTGAGAAGTGCTATCCTAACACAGGTAAACATGTGTCTGGCAAAGACTGATAATTAATATATGTCCAAACAATACATTCAGCCCCTAGTGACCTTTTGCATATGTTACATGTAGTGATTTGTAGGAGCAGCATTAGAACCATTTAAATATAGGTGGGAATTTCAGTGGCACACAAGATTGTACAACAAGGGTAGTAGGACAGTACCAGGAGTAAAAGAGGGGTGCAACATGGAAAGTATTTGGAACAGGAATCTTAATGAATATAAACAAAGCTTTTTTCCTCCGCTTCCCAGCTCAGTTGGTATGGTGCATTTCTAGTGGCTTCATGATATACTGTAAACAATCAAAACAATGTATTCTTTTTACAAGTATGTAGTTGTGATCACTTGCAATCCAATGGTATGACAAACAGGAGAGATTTCAAGAATGTTTACACTGTTCATTCCAGCCTTACAAGTAAATGCTATCAGAAAAGAGATGACAGGATTTAATGTCTTATGCAAGAGTCAAGGAATTTGGAAGGGTTTACTGGGAAGGAAACTCAAATTCCAAATGCTGGACTCAGATTTCAGGACATGTTTTTCATCTCTGTTGCTCCTTAGCACATCTCTTCATCTTTATTTAGGGTGCCTTGGGGGCATTGAAGTAGCTTTTCTTAATAAAAGGCAAACAGATTAATCAGCTCTCAGCATAACACAAATTATTTCATGGAACAAAACAAAGCTATTCTGATGGTATAGTGCCAGCATAATTGTAACTTAGTATTTTAAAAAGGAGTTCTTCTACTGAGTTAATTTATTATTCTTATTGTTCTGTAGGAGGGTTTCATAGTTCACCTGTATAGGCATCCACACAGGAAAAAAATGATTTTGCATTCCATTAGGGCTGTTGATTGATTGCAGTTAACTCACGCAATAAACTCAACAAAATTAATTGTGATTAAAAAATTAATCGTGATTCAGTGTACTTTTAATCACACTGTTAAACAATAGAATAACAATTGAAATGTATTAAATATTTGTGATGGTTTCTACATTTCAATTGCAACACAGTATACAAAGTGTACAGTGCTCACTTTATATTTTTATTACAAATATTTGCACTGTAAAAATGATGAACAAAAGAAATAGTATTTTTTAATTCACCTCATACAAGTACTGTTGTGAAATCTCTTTATCATGAAAGTTCAACGGACAAATGTAGATTTTTTTGTTATATAACTGCACTCAAAACCCCAAAATCTAAAACTTTAGCGCCGAGAAGTCCACTCAGTCCTACTTGTTCAGCCAATTGCTCAGAAAAACAAATTTGTTTACATTTATGGGAGATAATGCTGCCTGCTTATTATTTACAATGTCACCTGAAAATGAGAATATGCATTCACATGGCACTTTTGTAACCAGCATTGCAAGGTATTTACATGCCAGATATGCTAAACATTCCTATGCCTCTTCATACTTCGGCCACTTATGGACATGCTTACATGCTGATGATGCTCTTTAAAAAAAGTTAGTTAAATTTCTCACTGAACTTCTTGGGGGAGACTTGAATGTCTACTGCTCCATGGTTTTAGCCACATTCTGCCATATATATTCATGTCTCAGATGATGACCCAGCACATGTTCTTCATTTTAAGAACACTTTCACTTCAGATTTGACAAAACACAAAGAAGGTACCAATGTGAGATTTCTAAAGATAACTACAGCACTCGACCCCAAGTTTAAGAATCTGAAGTGCCTTCCAAAATCTGAGAGGGAGGAGGTGTGGAACATGGTTGCAGATGAGTTAAAAGAGCCACACTCCAATGCAGAATCTTCAGAACCCGAACCACCAAAAAAGAAAATCAATCTTCTGCTGGTGGCATCTGACTCAAATAATGAAAATGAACATGCATTGGTCTGCACCACTTTGGATCATTATTGAGCAGAAACCATCCTTGGCATGGATGCATGTCCTCTGGAATGGTGATTGAAGCATGAAGGGACATATGAATCTTTAGTGCATCTGGCACATAAATATCTTCCGACGCCAGCTACAATTGTGCTATGCGAATGTCTGTTCTTATTTTCAGGGGACATCGTAAACAAGAAGCAGGCAGCATTATCTTCTGAAAATGTAAACAAACTTGTTTGAGTGATTGGCTGAACACGAAGTAGGACTTAGTGGACTTTGTTTTATTTTTGAGTGCAGTTGTCTTTTGTCCATAATTCTACATTTGTAAGTTCAACTTTAATGATAAAGAGATTGCACTACAGTACTTGTATTGGGTGAATTGAAAAATACTTTTTTTCTTTTTAACTGTGCAAATATTGGTAATAAAAATAATATAAAGTGAGCACTATTCGCTTTGAATTCTGTTGTAATTGAAATCAATATATTTGAAAATATAGAAAATATCCAAAATATTTAAATGGTATTTTATTATTTAAGAGTGCAATTAATTGTGCAATTAATCACAATTTTTTTAAGCGCTTGACAGCCCTACAATCCATCCATGTCTACAAAATGCTTTTTGCATGGGAAATTAGTTAAATTGGAGGAGACAGGAATTAGTACAAGAATTGTAAAGTAGGTTAAGAACTGGTTATAAGAGGAGAAAAGAACTGGTTGTTCTGAAAAGCGCTAGAGGGAAACTTCTAGAATTCCCCAAGAATCAGTGCTGGGGCTGATCTTTTATAGTATTTTTAATAATGACCTTGGCAAAACTAAAAAGAGGAATGTACTAATGAAATTTGCAGATGACACAAAGCTGGGAGGTTTTGGCAATACAGAGGAGGATCAGAATATTATACAGGAAGAATTGGATAACCTAACAGACTGGAGTAATAAAAGTGGGATGAAATTTAAAAATACAAAGTGGAAGGTCATGAACTTGTGGACTAATAGGAATTTCTGCTATAAACTGAGGGCTCATTAGTTGAAAATAACAGCAGAGGAGAGAAATCTGGGTATATTAGTAAATCTCAGTATGACTATGAGCCATCTGTGTGATCCTAGGATATATCTGGTGTTTTCAGTAGAAATAGGGAAGTATTAATGCTATTGTACAAGGTGGTGACAGAGCCTCATTTGGAATAATATGTACAATTGTGGTTGCCCATGTTCAAGAAAGATTAATTCAAACTGGAACAGGTGCAGAGACGGGCTATTGGATCAGGGGAATGGAAGGCCTAACTTACGAGAGGAGACTAAAAGAGCTTGGTTTGTTTAACCTAGCAAAACAAGGGCTGAGAACTATGATTGCTTTTAATAAACTTATCAGGAGGGTGAACAGTGGGAGAGGGCAGCAGAATCAAGATAAAGGAAAATGTTAGCACAAAAGTATGTGTATAAACTGGACATGAATAAAAATTAGGCTGGAAATTAGACAGTTGCTAAGAATCAGAAGTGAGCCTCCCAGTGGGAACAAAGGGGCAAACAACCTATCTAGTTTTAAGATGGTTTGATAAAGGTATTACTGAGATTGTATGATTACCAAATCCATGACCCTGTCATTGCAGGCAATGTTACAACTGAAGGGTCAGGGTCAAACTGATCCCCATTTTCAGGGATGGGAAGAAATTTTTCCTCAGGTCAGGTACCGTGGTTATTTGTTTTTTGTTTGCTTTTTTTTGTTTTTGGGAGAAGGGGTTGCCTTCTTCTGCATCCTGGGGCAGGAGGTACTTGCCCAGTTCATCTGTGTATAGCTCACCAAATTTCCCTGACACTGTAACGGTTGCAGGCATTGTTAAACCTCATTCCCTGTTCTCTGCTCGTGCCATAGAATGGTTTAATCTCCTGTGGGCTGTAATACATTTAGTCTAATGCAAGTGATTGGAGTCAAAACAGGAGCAACTGGGTAGGGTTTAGTGGTCTGATATACTTCAGTCAAATGAGATGATCTGGTTGTTCCTTCTGGCCTTAAACTTTGATTCTATGGTTGTATGAAGTGCCATGGATTGAGAGCTTTTTGCCAAAATGCTGATAACCTGAAAACACAATGGGTGTCATTCAGCTGTGGCACTGAGTGGCCAACTCAAGTCCTTCTGTACTACTCCACATAAGGTTTCCACTGTCAGAGTAGCTGGACAAGTATGCCTGCATTCACCGTAAGTGCTGCAAAAAGCACCTCCGTGTTGGTTTCACATTTGTTAGCACAGAAGGTCACAGAGTATAAGAGGGGCCACAGATCTACATTTATGTAGATCCAGTGATCCCAATAACATAGACAAATATCTCAGAGGAGCTGCTGTCTGTCTTGTTGGAATAGCAGCTGCAGGGAGCAGTCCGGCAGCCACAGAGTGGTGGCCTGGGTTAGGGTATGACATTCATCTCCCCTCTGCTCTTCTCTCCAGCTGCATAGAGCTTTATTCAGCTGGAGTGGTTTTCACCCATTCAAAGTATGGGAAGAAACAGGAGTTTTAAAGATTCAGAATCAAACATTGAGTTTTCCTCCAAAAGTTATTTCCAGCAAATAAAATGTCTTTCCCAACCAACTTGTTTCTCAGTTCAACCAATATTAACAGTTTTCACTCTGCTTCTGATAGGTCACAAACAAGGCTTGGCTTAATCTACCATGGGCATTTCCTGAG